TACTTCCATCTCACTTGCACACCTTCCAGAACTCTTTCGTCACCATGCATTAACTTCATGTTTATTTGGAATATTCTAGATTCATTATGATGAATCTAATGAACATCATTATCTATGAGAAATCAATAATTTTAAAAATCAATATATTCTAGAATATTCCAAACACTGTAAACATTCATGCGCACATGAATAATTGCCGTTCATCTATTTCCAAACATGCTCATCAGCCATTCGTACATTCATTCCTACATATACATTGAACGCAGTTTCATGCGCTTTTTACTAAAAGACTGGACATGTAAGTTTGTTTGTTGACCATATACTAATGTCATATATTAACTGGATTTGTTTTAACCAGTTAACTGCGTTTGACGAGTATATACGTCATCTTAAAATTAAACTGATATTAATTCTTTCAACGATCAATTATTTATTTGTTCAGATAAACATGTAATTCTTCGCCATGTTGCTTTAGCTTTTCGTTAGAATACATTACAGGATGTAATACATTATGTGTAACGACAAAACAAGGGAGTTGAATTAATCGTAGGAAGGATCGAAATATCTGAACGAAATGTAACGCTCATTAGAGTTTACAGTGAATTTTGTGAATGAATAAACAGGACGTACCGAAGTGTTTGACGATCGATCGTTTTACGAGGACGGGTTTGTTAGAGAACAGAGCAATCGGTTTTCAGAGGTTGCTCTCTGGCTCGATTTGCGAGATTATCATACGACCAGGTATTATGCGGAGTAAACGATGGCCCCGCGTGTTCGAAGCTTGCCGGGTACTCTGATTGAAATGCCCCCGGTAATTTCCGGTTATTTGGCGCACACAGTTACGCCCGCGACGCGGTGCATTACACTGCTATGACGCCGGCAACGTTTGATACGACGTAGAACGCGTCCATTTACCACGCTCCATTTCCAGTTCCTGCCAGATGTGCGCCACGAGGAAAGGGAGGAAAGCAGCCGTAATTAAGCGTACACCTTGCTGCGACGATAAATGTTATGAATTTTCCATCATTCCAGAAATTCGAGTGGAAATTCAAAATTCCTGGAAACTTGGAATTGTTCTGTTAACATAAACAAACTTCGTTGCGCATGAAAAATTGAAATAAATATGTCAATTTGCATTCGAAATTAACGGTGACAATTCATTCTTAAGAATAACAACTACCATGGAGCTCTTTACATTTTGCGTTAAAACCGACCGACCGTTTAAAAAGTATAAAATTTAAAGACTATCATAATAGCAATATACTTACTTCGATGTAAAGAAATTTCTTTTATTGGTTATGTACAAGTCACGTTCGTATTGAAATATATTCTGGAAAAATAATATTTCTTCGAAAAATTTATATTAGAATAAAAACATAATAATGACTTTAATTTAAATGATTATTCATATTATTTTCCACTAGAAATATTCGAAATTTCACAGTAAGATATAGATGACGTTATTTGAAACCAACCAATAAGAAAACATCCGTAAATTAAGAAACAATGCTATTTTATTCCAATATTTCACATATCGATGCATTATATAAAGCTTAATATTATATATAACCTTATATATATATTATTTTACTATATCAAATCAAGCGGTGACTGAGAGTCATCTCTCGAGTGCAAAGGGTTAATGCATCCCTAAGGTTTCAGTAAGATTATACTCGATAGAAATAGAAAAAAATAAGTGTCTAGAAATAGAAAAAAATAAGTCTAAAGAAGTAGTTCCAATAGAATCAAGTCTGACACAGTTGACAGTGTTGGGGCAAGTTGGCAATATATTACCATAGGAAATGTTATCACGCGACAAGATGTTATCACATCAGAAGATATGAAAGAAGAGTGAACTTTCGAAGAAAGAGGTTACTCAAACAAGAATCACAGTAACCATTGGTTGCACATGAAGCACTGCTATGCAGTTATCTGAAGAAAAAGTATGACAGAACGCATAGAGTACCTACTCGAAAAGAATGTAGCCGTTCTAGTGCTACGTTACTCAAAGAGTTGCAGAATTACTGGTTGCACACAAAACACTGTCAATTATCTGCAGACAAAGTAGAAGCAGCGGGTCCAATCGAAAAGGATAAGACTGTACTCGTAGAACAAAGAAATGAAATGATAGAAAATGACGTGCAATTGTGAAAAGTATAAGACGCGCTCCTTGGAAACAGATTAATGAGCAGTCGAGACAGAACGTTTGTGACTATACTCTTGGAAATAGGTTAACCGAGTGCAGTTACCTCATATCGCAAAATGAAAACGAAATCATTGTTTACAAAAAACAAAAAATAATGTTTAGAATGGTTCAAGAAACACGTAAACTGAGGAGCAGTGGATTAGTCGAATATAATTTTCAGCAACGAGTCATGTGTACTTATTTACTTGTATTAGAGCAAGGAATAATGCAGAAACATTTTCTCTCGCATAAATATCGCAAAGAGTTGCGCAGAGAGTCCTAAAATTTTTTAAGTATTCAGAAGTATACATTGTAGAATACTCCATTTTAGAGGATGGGTCGGAAAAATTGTGCACCGTATACAGCAATATCAATACATAAACATATGAGCAATTCATTTGGCAAAGTGGCGAACTCCGCAAAATGAAAAGTAACAAAATTTAGTAAAATTACATACAATACATAAGAAATCATTTAAGTATATTAGTACTAAAATTTGGAAAAATTCCAAAAGTGGAGTTAGTCACTTTGGCTTGTCAACCCTTCATTTGTAAATATATTAAAAAATTTCTTAATTCCGAGCTTACAATAGAACGTCACAGACACCCGTGCTGAACGTTGACGCCTTAGTTTCGACCGCTTTTGTTATTGGATAATTCGTGTAGACGAAGATCGCAAATCAAACAGAATACAACAAAGTGAGATACAAATAAGGGTCGAGCATCGAGAGTCGAGACGCGGGACTTCAAAGCTATTTAAACGCGTCAAATATTAACACGTTGAGTGCTATGGGGGTCATCAGTGACCTCCAACCGAATCGAATTACTACAATTCGTTCAATCAAACATTGATTATTTGAAAACATTTTTGTATTATAAATACTGCTATCTAACGTGGTGACACTCAGATGAATGCGCAATAATAATAATAATGTAATTCAATGAAACGATTTAATATTTTATTTTTTCCATTTTGTGTATTTTGTTTTGTGAAATCGTGCGGTATTGAACATGCAATAAAGGAAATATCAATTTGATTCATTTCAATCTTGCTTTCTCAAACGTAGTGCGAGTGAATGTTTGAGATTGTTGTGATTCAAATGAGTTCAAACATGATGGAAATCAGACTAGTTTCACCGACTTAATGTAGTTAACGAAATAGAAGGTTCGTTTGGCCCAAATCGATGAAACTAGACCGATTTACGTCGTATTAGGGCTCATTTCAATGAATACTCCACTGGTACTACATTTGAAAAACCAAGACTTATTACTGAAACTGAAATTTTCATTATTGCATGATTACTGTTTACGTTTGCGGTACCTTACTAAAGCGTGTCTGTTTCCCTTCCGCTCATTGTATTCATTTTCTGTCTCTGCCTGTTGGGTTCACGTTACACTGAGCTCGCAATAGTGAGTAGTGGGGAAGAGTAGAAATAGTATAGTGGAATTAAGCCGAGCAGATTTCTGTGGAATTTCAGCGAGCATCATACTATCTCGGAAATTAAACCTGAGAGACGGTTAAATATGTGTATAGAGAGAAATTGTTCAGAATAATACCCTTAAAACATATTTCAAGGTCGTTGGAATCAGTAAAGTGTGCCTTTTATTGAATAATTAGCAAAATATCGAAACTATTGTAATAAATACATGAAAAATCACGAGGGACAGCTAAATAAGTTATTAAGAGAAATTTCTCAGAATGTCCTTAACAACATATGTGAAAGTCAGTTTTCGACGCGATGTCCGTGAAAACGAATATTTTCAACGGTTTCTTTATGTTATAGTATTCGTTTGTTTCGTAAGTGATTGGGTTGAACAGAAAAATCGATAAATTTAAGGAAACAGTAAGCATTTGTTCAAAAAAGAACATATATTTCTCAATCTAAAATACAATCGCGCATTATCTTACATTTCAAACACATATTAATAAAAGGTACTTGAAAAGGAATGAAGTTCCTGAAAAAATTACACAAATTTTGCGACAAAACTTTCTGTTCAACTCAATATTTAGTAAATATTTAGTAATTATTTTGTATAATTTTTCAAAGCTTCAAACACCATTTATATAGAAATAGTCATTAGATGCAATCACAGTGTATGTCTGTACATTATAATAGTACACCCTAGTTCACACGTATGATTTTACATAGTTTTATTACTGAAGTTTGTTATATTACGTATCGTAAACTGTTTATTGCGGCACGTGTTTTTGAAACTTGAGATACATCTATTGATTCTCTGCAAACGGATGGACATTCTGGACGTAATAGAATTTTAACTTTATGTAAGTTGCACAAAGAAATTTTACATTAAATTTTATACATACTGTTAACTGAACGTGTTACAGTTACATACATAATTATATAACTATATAAATAGATTCAAAAATAGACAAATATATAAAGACAGAAACAGTTGCCGTACGGACAAAATTCGTAGTCCGTAGGTTAATGACAACAAAAAAAGAAAGATGAAAGCCAAAAGATCAAAGGAAGTGTTTTCTTTCCGAGATTTGCTAGTAGACTCGTCAAATATGCTAGTTACCGTTGAATGATCAGATGGAAAATTAAAGACGGTAGCCCCTCCTTGATTACAAAAAGTACCATTATCTATTTTTTTCAAACATTTTTTGTGTTCTTTCAAACTTTTTATGTGTTAATAAAGGTGTGCTCTAATTCTCAATCAGAAACAATCAACCGTAAAAACAATCGAAATTACATTGATATTTAGATATAGTCTCCACACTTAATAGCGGTAATCAAATGAAGTTCATTTGACTATTTCACATCGGTAATATAAGAAATGAAGTGACTTACATTTATTAGATCCAGTTTCTCGTCAGCTAACCTATAACACAGAAACAAAATATTAAATTCACTATAAAAAGAAATCCAAGTAAAAATAGAAGTAGTATCCATCATTAAAACATGAAAATCAGTTTTTTGATAAAATTGTATATAGCATAATCGTAAGTATATATGTACAAGCTGTTTCCTTTAACTGGGTACGATGGGATATTTTACAAGGGATTAAAGTTATTTAAAAATATGTTGAATATTTAAATATTTTATGAAAAGTGATTAAAATGTTTACAAAAGATGTTTGGTATTATTTGTACATAATATGATAGCGTTTACTGAGATGTTTATTTAAACTCTAGATGACTACATTGATCAGCAGCATCGGATCATTTCCCTGCCTTCAAATTCTAATAATATCTATGAAATGGCAATATTTCAATTAAAATAATTCCTAAAGTACAATAGAATTTTTGTCTCTCTGTGTGTAGTACATACGGGTAACCATGGACATAGACCATAGAATACAGTCCTACAGCACAAGTCTTACGAAAGACTTTATCAGTCAGATTATAACTTATTTTAAAATAAATCGGCAGTGACAGTATAAGTACCTAATAGCAATTTGTTAAACAATCATGGACAAGGGCGAATATTTTAATGTTTCTGAAAATCATAGTTTTAAGTTTGTATCAACAGTTATGACTAGGACAACAACAGGCAGTCTGTATATTCTGGGTATTCGAATTCTTGAGTACTCCGTTCTATCTTGACATACAAAGTGTTATTCGAATAGATATGAAACTGTTAAAAGTAAATTATACTCGAGTAGAATTTTCGCATATCGTTATTGATAACACGATCAAAAATATTCTAATAACTAAAACAAGAGAAAATCTTCATTCTACAGGGTGGATCACCGAAAAATAGCCAGCATCTATTATATTATGGGCCTCCCAAATAGAGTAAAACATTTTCTGAGCGAAATCATGTGTATAAACCTTATTTAATAAACTTTGACGTTGTTTTTGCTATTATTGCAAACAGCAAAATCTCTTCTTGGTTAGGTCTTGATTAAGTTTTGGTCTTGCAAATAGGGTAAAACATTTTCTGAATGAAATCATGTGTATAAACCTTATTTAATAAACTTTGACTTTGTTTTTGCTATTATTGCAAACAGCAAAGTCTCTTTAATAAAGAACAAGAACTGAGTGTTATTACCTGCAACTGCGACAGTTACTGGAATTTATATTTGATATAAATAAAAATTACTTTAGCTACCACAGTTGGGGATAAAAGAACTCCAATCTTGTTCTGTATTAACAATTAGGCTCTTACCCTTACAATAATATCAAAAATAACTTTGAATTCTATTAAATAAGCCTCAAAATAAAAGAAATCCATACTAATGCGAAGAACGCATGACACACCGTGAACGTCAGTATGAATAAAAATTGGCTTAGCTACCACAGTTGCGGATAACTTATGAAAAAGGATTTTTTACTGCGTTTGGGAGACAAATACCCCATAGTGCAAGGATAGGATCATACGAGGAATAAATAAGATTCTGGTTATTCACTAGTATTGGAGACAGGTTACTTTTTCCATGGCCTACCTTGTACGATGTAAAGTGTTAATAACTTGTTTTGACTAGAATTGTAAAAAATGCACGAAAACAGATACTCTGGAGTAAATAGATTGTTATGTATTCAGATATTTCTCTGAAGTGTGCATCAGTTCTACTCGTGTATTTTCAAACTTAAAATATCGTTATTTCGAAACGTAGTCGCTTATTATGTACCAGGAAATATTGGTTATTGGTATTTATGTATATAAAAATAAAGATACCTAGTTAAGTCCAATTAAATTTCATGCAAATATAAATTACTTGGAACTTTGTAGGTAACCATGTAAGACGAATGGGATGTTTACTCGAATAGAATGTATTCTAATACTTTTTAATTCTATCGAGTATTTCATAGACGTTCTGCTAATCATAGTTTGAGTTCCACATAAAAATATTTATATAATTGCGTTTTTAATGAGGTATTTGATCGATCAATACATATTAAGCATTTCATAAATCTTATCTTAGTTTTCATAATATAATTCATATCGCCACAATTACGTCTTAATATTATTCCTTTCAATAAAATAATTTTTTTATAAAAAATGTAGAATATTTCATAAAATACCTTCTGCTATTTTTAAGACGAAAGTTCAATATGATCTGAGGTTGTGGGGTATGACTGGAAATTTTATTGCTGAAGAAACCCATGTGATAGTTGTCAGAAGAATTGGATTCCTCTTCTTTAAAAGTTATGGCCATTTTGTCGAACCTAACTTACATAGGGAAAGCAATAAAATTATGCTTTCTTCGTACATAAATCAATTTTATTAGAATATTTTTACATAGATCAATATATAACACATATATTTACATATTTTTCAATGAAAGACGGCCGCAATGATCTACAACGATAAAGAGAATTTCAAAATTGAATGTTCCGAATTATTCTTTCATTCTCTAACAGTTACAGTATCGTGCCAATAGTCAATCATAACTCAGTTTGTATTATATTTAAATGTATGTAATGCTGAATGATATAAATCACATAATTTTGCTGCCTTCTGAATGTAAGTTAAAACCATAACATAAATGATCATAATTTTTGAACGGGGAAACTGTAACATTTTTAATATCCCCCGATATGTTCCTTAAGGAGAGATTCTTGTGGTACAGCAGAAAAATCAAATAATTTTTCAATTTTTCTTCTGTAAGAATGATTAACATAAAAGTTTTTGTTTCACTTTAAAAATTGAGAAGAAACATTTTTTATTTATCTTTTAACGACTAATACATCAATTTGTATAGAATTGGTGTCACCCTCTTCATCAGTGGAACAATTGTTGGCATACAATATAGCATTTGTTGCAATCAATCGAATCTAAAAAATAGAAAAGATTTTAAGGTTAAATAGTTTATATTGAGATTAGTCATTTTTTACAAAAATTACAAAAAATAAACTTGTCTGAATGCATAAGTTGGGGGCTTAATATACATGAATTTAGAAAATATTATAAATACAAAATATAATAAAAGTCAAAAGTACAGTTCTTAAACGAATATATTACAAATAAAAGAAGCTTTTTCAAAGTTCATTGGTCAATTAGTCATCGAGTTATCCTGTACGCTAATTCAAAAGATATAGTTCTGAGAAAACCGCGTTTGAAGTTTTAAAATAAATACATACTTGCAGTTTAAGTTTTCAATTTTCGTTATTGAAATCGATTCAAGTTTATTTAACATTCTCTGTTCTCTAATACTTCTGAGTTGAAAACCCGCTCGCCTTTTGATATGTTCAACACATTCACTTTACACAATTTTTATACTTTCACTATGTTACTCTTATCACCAGTTTCTGGCGTGTAATACTAAATAACCTGCTAGTTATGTTATTTTCTCGAATATGACTAAAAAAGATTTTAATACGTTGAATACCATGGGAGTTATCGGTGATCCCCAACCAAATCGAATTACTTTAGTTCACTCAATTAAACGATGATTATTTAGAAACATTTGTATATTATAAATAATGCTAGCTAATGCGATGATATTCAGGTAGGTGAACGCACAATAGTAATAATGCGATTCAATCAAATGATTCAATATTACATTTTTCTTATCTTGTATATTTTGCTCTATCAAATCGTGTGGCATTCAACGTGTTAAGAACTTCTGTCTAAAGCGTTATATTGATGCATGCAGGACAGAAAAAATTGACTTTGGACATGCTACACGATAATCCCCCCTTAAAGAGAAGCTATCCACCGATACTCTACAATCTTCAATCAATGTTCTTCCAAATACTGAACTTTTCAATATTATACGTCAATAATTTGGTATGCAGAATATTTCGAAAAATTAACCTGTGATAGAGGCAGAGCAAGAAACATAGAAATTAAGGAAAAGAATTATAAATTATGTTAATACGAAGAAATTTAAGATATTCCAGAATAATAACTTAAAATAATTTAAATTATTTCATGTTTGATTATATAAACATTTAACAATGAAAGAGTAATCATGCGTATTCAGATGTAGAAGTACCGGCGTTTATGGAAGCTTAGCCGTGAGTTATAACATAAATTGGTGCGAGAACCTAGGACGGTTGTTAGCAGCTAATTATACAGAGGATTAGCTTGGCCAGCACCACTACAAGCCAACCTCTATAATTTTCTTGGGAGCTCAAATTCAAGCGTAAATCGCTGTACGCGTGAAACTACTGTATGTAGTTTCAAAATAGAGTAAGGCTCGAACGTATAATAAACGTATTTCCAATAAGAATATTACGTTAAAATCATTTAATATTTTATAATTCTCGTGTTGTTGCAATAAATTTATGACAAGTGTTTTTAATGTTGACGTAGATACATGTAATCCCTGTATTAGTTTCTTCAGTAATAATATTTACAGTCATAATATTGTGGGGTGCGACGCATAAGGCCAGATACCATTGATATACTCGGACCGTTACGATCAGGTCACTTGAACTCAGATGGTTCGCAGGCGGTCGATGATGGCCTGCAGAATCATGCCCTGTGTTGACGGGATTAGTATTTAAGACGATTGTAAGGCCTTTTTAACATAGAGTAGTTTTGTGAGTTGAGAGGAGCAAGACAGAGTAGACCAGCGTGGAACAGCCTAGTATTGCGTAGAATAGAGTAAGATACATAGTTTAGTTTAATTCTACCTACTTATAGTTCATTTCATATAAAGATACAAATACATCTGTGCTTGTTCTCACCAAAACCTCCGCCACTTGCAACTCCCAAGTGGAAATCTTATGTGGAAGCCTCAAGTGGAACTCTGTTTATCTGGATCCAATTAATCCGGATTATAAAATATAATCACTGGCTTTTCTTGTGCAAATTATTGTTAATATACTATGTACGTCTACAACAATGCGGTCGAGTTGTTACATTGTACGCATCTGTCATTTGATTCTGCTTTTAGTATCCTAATCTTTTTAAAGTGCCTTTCTTTAC